AGTAAAATAATAATAGCTTTCTCATTGTATCGGTATATAATAAAAAGCTGCATACCGTTATCATACGTACCTGCAGAAACCGGTAAATATACCTGCATTATTATCATCGAGCATCAGTGAACGTGAAAGTTAAAATTTAACTATTTGTTTTGATATTGTAACGATAATATGATTATATATTTTAATTGATTTTCAAATTTTCTAATTGACATTGGCGTATTTACCATATAAACATTAATAAACTCTTAAAGTCGAATTTAAATTGGATTAATTGTCGGATAGTACTATATATATCTAGATAGTTTTTGTGATTTACCGTGGGCTTTTCTATAAAATAATGCAATAAAACTAGACTAATATTGAGTATTTTGTGTCCGGGTACTAATTACAGAAGGTACTATAATAGAACGGTTTTTACATAATTTTACCATACAGTGCTGTATACAGTATCTCTGGTCTTTTTCAAAAATATCAAGATTAATTAAATAATACCAGGGCATGGGGTGTAATTTCAAATAATCATATGGGCACAAGGTCGTGATGCTAAATCATCAGCCCCTGTCTTGAATGATCAATTTAACATCACTATTAGTCTAATCGATGGTCATGCATCGATTAATAATTACAGTATATATATCAAAATTATAATTGATGAGATTGCACAACTAATATCATTAAAAATTTCCTAATACGTAATAAATGTAATATATATTATGTTAATATACTTAACAATGCTTAATAAATGTTCTTATTTTTAAAAAAAATAAAACAACAAATATTAAAATCCTACGCTATGTCCTGTTCTAACTACTGTACTACACTCTGAATCTAACTTCATGCTATGTTCGATCTAAAAAGAAGATATGAACATGGACACTATTTGGACTAGTCCATGTCCAAATAAAATTTTTATTGAACATAATCCAAATGCCAACACTGATTAGAACCGCCAGTCCCGATTTAGATCATTCTCGGCTTCATTTCAATTTCCAGTAAAACACTAGCCAGAATATGAAAAAAAGCATTAGCATAAGAAATAAAAAAACGAAACAACAATACAAAAAAAAAAGTTAGAAACGGGTACTTTATACCAGTTCCAATTCGCACGGGTCCAAAGTAGAGGTTGGACCCGTTGAGAAAATCCCTACCCGGGTTATCCGGGTAATTTATTATTATCATATATCACAATTTCTACCCGGGTCCAACCCCTAGTCCAAAGCACTATTTCCACTTTTCTGATCGAAACACTAACCTGAAGAAGAAAGAAAGTGTTGATAAAAGAAATGGAAAATGGAAACAACAAGAAAAATGAAACGTTAAACTATCAGTATTTGGTACTGGTTTAATTCTTCCGGCTCAAGATCTCTGGTAATGCCACATTCTTGTACCTCAGAAGAAAGACCTAGCTGTATATACCAAATTCCAGTAAATTCTGAAAATAAAAAGAATAAAATTTAGTCTAAAGAAAACAAGAACTAAAAAAAAAAACAACCAAGAAAAACTGTCACTTATATTAAAACCCAAGTCCAAAAACCGGCACCCTCATATATCAAAAGTCTAGAAGCGCCAAAAGAAATGGGTTAAAATAAGTCTAGGAAAATTAAAAAAAAAAGGTCCAAATATTCCTACCCAGAGTTGGCAATAGAGTCAATGGGGTTAAATGGTTACGTGAATGGAGCTCAAAAAACTAGTATCCATTGGCTCCATTCGCAGTTTCATTGGGTTTCCATTCGCAGCTCCATTGGGTTCCATTGAACTCCATTGCCAACCCTGCTTCCACCTACCTAAACCAAGACTCTTCAGTAGTAATTGCTGGAAGGTACCCGGTAATAACCTGAACTATGAGTCTTGCGTCGCCTGATCCGAAAAAAGACAAAGAATAACTGAGTCTTGCGTCGCCTGATCCGAAAGAAGACAAAGAATAAATAAAACAAATAAATAAAAAGGAAAAGAAAAATATATAATACTTTTCTGATGCCGGATCAACAATAAATAAAGTTACAGTACAAAAAAAAAAAAAAAAGATCGTTCAATAGATCAGCCCATTTACCTCTCTACAAGTGGCTATTAAGGAAAGCGTCGGAGAAGTCTTGCCTTGCGGTCTAGATCTGGAAAGAAATCCAAATTGCTCAGACTTCGTATTCGTATTTCGCAAGACACAAGACTTATAAAAAAAAGTCAGTAAAAAAGAACGAAAATGACAAGAAAAAATAAAAAAAAGAAACTGGTACTTATTTTAGTACTAGTTCTACCCTTTCAAATTTCAAGAATACACTTGTTCAAATAAGATAGTAAATAAGGTTATACTGTATATCAATATCTGTAATGTAGATCAACCTTCGTGATGTAAAGGAAATTTATTCGTACGTACGTACTATTAGTGCGCCATTAACCATTCAGTCAATTTTTTAAGATGTCCCAATAAAAATAGCTATAGCAAAGACTTGACTTTTGGAGTCAAGTCAGGACCTGACCAGGTTTTTCACATCTCTACTTGTGGGTGTTCCATTAACACGTATATGAGTGCTGCCAAGAAAAACCTGCAAATCTTATCTAATAAGATTTGCAGGTTTTCTCTTAGCGACACTCATATGTGAATGCATAAATAATATTCTATAAATATTGACATTATTGTGCAAATGCCGAATATCCGTGAAATTTAATTTCATATTTGATTTTGCTATTATTATTATTTCAAATTTTCAATTATACACGTATATACAAATATGAATAACCGTATTCAAAAAGCTTTAACAGCTAATGAAAAAAATTTAGTTATATCTGTTTATAATTATTTAAAAAACAATAAACAATATATAAAATTTCCACATTCTTTTAATTTACGTGCTGAAGTTTCTAAAGCTACTGGTATTTCTGAATCTACGATTGGAAATATTCTTGCAAAAAAAAATAAAAATATTGAAATTGTGGACTCAAAACAAGGACATCGACCTTCAAAAGAAATTCAACCAGAAATTAGAAATAAACTGCGTGAATTGATTTATGATGCAAATAAAAATGGAAAGCTTCTTACTTTGAAAATTCTTTGTCAAGACTTAGCTGATTCAAATATTATAATATCAAAATCAAAACTTCAACGATATTTAAAAAAGCTAGGATATCATTATGGTAAAGGCAACCAATATAATATTCTACATGAATCAGCTCAAAATATTGCATATAGAGCAGTTTATCTTCGTAATAGAATGAAAAATTTAATAGGTA